CTGTGTATGCTTATTCAACTGCCCATCTCATGTTAGGACACGCTCCGGAACTCTCTACGCGAAACGGCGAGCCGCCCCGACGACGACACAATGCGGTACCTCACCAAGGCCTAGGGCCGTTGTACGGGTTCCGACATCCGTCGTTTCATGCAACTAGCTTTTACGTCAAAGCCGCCGTCAGGCCAGCCCGTGACGGCAGGAGTGAACTTTTGGCCGTGGGGAGCAGCGACTCTTGTGCTATGTTGTTCCCTACACAAGAGCGATATTTCAGGGATGACCTTCTTGGTGCAATGGGCTCTCTAAGTCTAGAAGATTCTACGATAGCCGTTTCTCAGAAACAAGCGGTATCGAACTCGAGCTTCTCATCTACGGACTCGAATACCGTGCGTAGGTCGCTATTCCGGACTAATAGTACTGCCAATCTCTCTGCCAGACTCAACGATGATATACCAATTGTTCGGATGGGAGCGCCACTTGTTCGAGGACACGAAAGTGAAGTCGGCGCGTTGACTTGGACGAGCGAGGGTAAACTTGTGACGGTAGGCGACGACTACTTGATTCGGTGCTGGAGCGAAGGGAGAGAAGAGGCGGCGGACCTAAGGACAGGTGGTGAGACGGGTGGTCGACGTTGGGGATGCGGTTGGGCGGATGTTGGGGACGACTGGGATCAGCTCGATGACGACGAGTAAATGAAAGCAAGGTTAAGGTTATAGCATGGCGTCGGGTTGGAACTAGTCTTCAGCATTGAGCATTGCAGGCTCTGGATTATACCCCTATATTTGCTTTAGAGATTGGCGAATAAGCTCCTTTCTACGCATGAGTTCAGATTTAATGAGTCTTTTCAGTACTTGAAGAGCCAGCTTTTATGATTCGATGTTTGGTGTCTGTACCTTTCTGAAGAACGCTTTGTCTGCGTTTTAATGTGTATTTTCCTGTGGAGTGTATAAGTCATGAATGTAATGTACACTAGGACTACTCAAATGATGATCAAGGAATTAAAACAATAACGAAATACCTTTCCAGAGAACAGGTTGACCTCGAAATAGTCCGGTAATCTTCAAGTGCTATGCTACACAGTTATAGAAGAGTAGTCCAAGGCTAATTGCACAAGTATATACAAGCCCGGAGCCCAAGGATACCCCCTTTGTAAGCCCGGTCCTTCAAGTGTCAACATATTGCACTAAAGCATTCCCCAGTCAGCCTACCTACGCCTATGTTATAGTTGGAGGTTAGTCTATGTACGTCCACCATCAGTTGAGCAAGGCTCTCGTTATTAAACTACAAACAAGCAATGCTTTCTCTTATACGTCGAACTGCGATGCAATCTCATATAAGATGAACAAATCAAAGGCCAGATTAATAAAATTCGGTCAATCATGGGCACTCTACTTGATCCAATCAAGCCCTTAGCTTGCTGCTTGTAATTACCTTCTGCCTGTAGGGCTGCATGCAGACATACTATAAGCTGCTGTGACATGCAGCTATCGAATCAGAACGACGCTGATTATACGCGTGCAGCTGACGAACTGCCGGTTAGACATGCTGAAACAACTTGGCAAGTCCCTCCATATGTACCTAAGGTCTGCCCTTTAAACCCCAATGATATGTAGCTAAGCTTACCCGATCCTCCTCTCTTCCAGGGAGATCACATCATCATTACCAAAGACAGCAAAGTTCCAGAACCGGTTACCAACTGCTGTTGAACGATCCTACTGCAGCACTTGCATGGGAGAAGGGAAAAGAAAACGCGTTGCTGCGTTACTTCTCACCGCCAGTTTCTACAACCCGTTTGTTGCGCGTGTCGACAGTCGCTGTGGAGCTTCCCGCATCTACGTAGTCAGGATTGTGACGATGGCCGCAGGTTCCGTAGCCTGGAAAATAGATTGACGGGCGCCGCTGAGTGGACGGATAACTCGATAGGCCGCATATTCGAAGACCCGGAGCGGAGCAAGCCAATACGCTATTTTATTGTTCTCTTATTCTTACCCTCTTGTCTTATAGCGACTTGTGAGGTCATCCAACGAGTTTCTCTACGTTAGCACTTTCATACAGATGGACCGTCTATATACGTAAATCGAGAGGGCTAGCTCGTCATTATTAATAGCAACGCGTTACTTATTAGCTACAGCCTACGCCGAATAAGAAAATCGGGTGGTTGGGGGATCGGGATCTGATTCTCCTTGTTGGTTATTGGTCAATGGCTTTCCCCCGGCCAGGCTCCCCTGTCAGCATCCGCGACACAGCAAACTGTGGTAATGCGACGCGCGCGTATCAGCGCTATCTACGGGTTTGAACCGAAGAATATCGTGGTGCTTGGGCGAGAAGAGTAGAATTCGACAAACTCCCAGCTGGGCGTATCTTGGGAATACACCACATGGATAACCCGAGCGTGTTCCCGTGCGAGACGAAATCGTATAGTTTCTCCGTTGCTTGGCCTTAAGCTAAACCACTCTCTGACTTTGCGCCCCACGGGTTATGCCACATGAGTGTGCTTCAAGTGTCTTAGACAGTGTATCGTGGCATTAGCCCGTAGACTAAAAATCCGTAGCCACGGGACGGACTCTAGCACGAGAATATCGTCCTGTGAAGTCTGAGTACGAGAACAACTTGAAAAATAACTCGAATGATGATGTAGAGAGCCGAGGTAGTATGTAACGACACCTAAGAGCTTGTTAGTACGGGGGTACGAGGTTTCACCCATGCGTTAAAACTCGAATTAACTATAACTAAAGAAAGCACTAAAGACCGTAGACTCGAAAGTCGAGAAATGAAACCGGCATATATAGAACATTGTCTCGATGACGAAGCCACTATCCAATAGGCTTGATATCGTAATAATCATCGTCGCTAAGTTGACTCAAGTGACTAACCTAGACTTAAAAGAAAAGTCTGGGATGGGAGGCTAGAGATAGAGACGTTGATAATAAGTCCCCTGAACCCTGTCGTTCCTGAAAATATCACTCTTTGGGACGTGTTTGCGCGCGTGGCGGCTGGACCCGTCATAAAAGTCCAAAAAAAAAAAGTATGCATGTATGTAATTTCTAGGATCGTCAAGCCGAACTTTTAATTACTCCCTTTCTTTTTTTCTCGCATCAACTCTATCGAAATTATACTTAGAGACTCGATAGAGCAGGCCGATAATAGTATCATAAAGTCTCAAGAGGCTAATTATTATAATTATATTATATACTTCCAAGTTGCACAGCGTCCAAGACTCGAAACTCCGTCTCGGACCCGAATCCTGGGAAGCTTGTTGGACTCAAAATTAGACCTCCCGTCCGGTCTTTGTTGACCACAGCTCTAAGCTTTAGGCTCTCTCTAAGCTCTACATACCAGGCTCTAGCAAGTCCCCCGGCAAAAGTGGACAACTCATCTTGCATCAAAGCTGCTGCACGATAAACGGCTTCCCATTCGCTTGTCACCCACAGCACGTTCTCTTATTAGAGATCGGAAACTAAACTGTCTGCACCCGGTAACCAGTACTACACAAGGCTCGAGGTTATTTGGATATGGCTTCTTGACACGATATCTTCTTTTATCTCCTTTCCCTCTTACCTTCCCCTTGCCCCTTGGCCTCGCGCTTCCCCAGTCCAGCGTCGCATCTAGAAGGCGAGCGCTTATAACGACCCGACGCGGACGCGTGTATATGCAACCGTACGGAGAGACGACATCAGAAGCTCGGTCTGTTCCTGCAAAGAACACTCGTTCATCCTGCAGTTCTCCTGAATAATTAGTTATTTTATTATTATTATTCTGTTCCCACGCGGATCTTTAGCCAGGACGTATATTCCTACATATGCAGATACATGCATAAGCACGAGCACATAAAACATTATTTACATGCGCCGCGTGCCTCCTATTAAGCAGCAGAGAAAAGCTCGAGGCTCGTGCATCATTATCATTATCATCATCGCCATCACGACCTATGAGAACGCGCAACGCTAATGTCGACTTCTGGGGCCGCTTAGAAAAGAAGTTCGCGGGGGCCAAGAGTTTTTCGACATTATTCGACATTACAATATTCCGTATAACCAGACCAGACCAGTCTTGTAGCGGACCAAAACTCCACATCCGTCCCAAAAGCCTGGAAACTCGCCAATAGAGGAGGGCCCTCGTTGACCTCACACCGCCACCACTCACTTGGTTCCTCGGGATCACGAAAGGCGGCCAGCTTGCTTTCCCAAGTTTTCTGCCAACTTCCCCCCTGTCCGGCGGAGATCTCCTAGGTTAGGTACCTACATATATAGGACCTACCCCGGCTAGCCGTTGTTGTCGTTGTACTATTCGCTCGCACGCACGCTCGCTTGATCAGCGGAAGAGGTGCGCGCTACTGACGTCGAAATGCTTCACGGTCGAATAAGTCTTAGAACACCTGCCACCACCACCACCACCGTCGCCGCCGCCGTCGCCGCCGCCGCAGCCTTACCTCAGCCTCCGTCATCACTCGCCCTACTATTTCCTCCTCGTTGTTTTACCTCTGTCTAAATTTAATAATTTTTATGCCCATTTTGGCCCAAATCTAGACTCGGGACTTGGGTCTGTCACCTTGTATTACTTTCGCTGTATCATATTGGTCAGTACCTCTTCCCCCCCTCCAATAGCAGTGCCAGCGCAGCCCTTACCAGGGTAGCTGTGGCCGATGAGCTTGCGCCAGCTAATACTTCGCGACGCTAGTCTGCTGTAATATTTTCGAATGTTTAATTTTGGTTGCGTTGTACTTTTTGGACCAGGTTTTGTGTAGGAAGTCAGTCGTCTCTATCAGACTTGGAGTTTGTCTACTTTGAACAGAAAAATAAGGACCGACGCGAACTACGGAATTGGGACTACGCTTTGAGTCCACTCGCGTGTTTTCGACTCTTCCAGCAACGGCTGCTTCTCATGCTTACGTTGAGATTGAGTCGCGTTGCCAGTCATTCGTTATCGAAGTCGTTTGCAGCTAGTGGAAGCTGTTCAGCCTGGGCTTGTCGACCAGCACACCTCTTAGGAAAGGAAGTCTTTCTTGGGAAGCAGCAGGTTTTGTGAGGTATGTTAATCCTGTATCAAATCATTGCCCCTATAGGTCCTCCTATCATACGTTTTCTGGTATCCATAGAGATATCTTCATCCACCTGTGTTACCTGTACAACGAAGAACCTTGCAAATACCGAGACCATGTTTCCTTTCGGTCATTACTATACCCTCTATGCTCGCAATTATCATTCAACCCTCTTACGCAGTATAGCAGGCTGAAGCACGTTTCTCACATAATCGTAGGGCCCCGGTATCCACCCCCTTTCCGGCGATCTTTTCGATGGCGTCCTCCGAGGTGGACCAGAAGTTCCTCGGACGCCTCGCAAAATCTGTCGAGCCCAATAATGCGCTGCTCGCGTCGATGCTGTTTAAGATATTGGGGCTTTCAATCAATGTAGCCGGGCAGTTGGTGAAAGCGCGCAAACAGCGCCGCCTCGATACCACGCGCGTGACTCAGTCCCTCGAGCTCTACTTTCACATATTATGGCTCTCGCGTGAGGGCCTCGTGATGCTCGAGCAGTATGTTTTACCCATGGTCGGCGACTACGTCGAGCTCAAGGTTCTTGCGTACAAACTACGCGCGTCCTTCTACCACATCTTCGTCCTGTTCCACAATAATCCCCCGGTTTCGCCCTTGGGAATTGCAACAACACCTCAGGCTCTCGCCGCGGAGATGACGCCGGAGCCGTTACGAGTCGATAAGGGGAAGGGCGTGGATAGGAGCAACCCGGCAGCATTCTTGCCGCCCCAGTACTTGCGATCGTCGGTACAGCCAACTCACCCGTATGAGCAAGGCGCACCAGCACCGCCCCCCGGCTTCGAGGCGCAAGTGCAGATGCCAAATTTCACTCCGGAAGCAGCGGCCGCTTTTCTACTACCGTCAGTAGACTACTTACCAACAGCACACCAGTACTTCCGGGAGGCTATTTCGTTGGCAGATAACTTGTTATGGGGGTCGCACTCACTACGACTTTCGGTAAAAACGGAGTATGCGGCGTTCCTATACGATTGCGTTCACGACCGAGAGGGAAGCCGACGATTAGCGAAGCAGACGATCGGGGAGGTGTACGAAGCGACTGAGGGCCTGGACGACGATATGTACGACGACGCGTGCGAACTCGTGACTGTGCTCGGCAAGATGATGAAGCGCGGCCTGGGAGCGGGAAGCTCGAGGAGCGGCGGAAGACCAAGTCCTAGCGTGACGCAAGCCACCGCTGTCTCCCAGAGCGGCGAGAGTAGTGCGACGGTTGTACCGCCTGTCCCGCCCGTCGGCATGGAGAATCCGATATAAGGTCGAGTTCGGAATTCGTGTGACAACGTTCGGGTACCGACGATACTCGATAAGGCGGCTACGCGTCCCGGTTCCATGCTGTTGGTCTGTACTTCCTACAGAATATAAACGAGCAAACAGTTTCGGATCCGTGCCAACGAAGTTCCAGCCGAAGCCCAAGCCGTACGCGGCCAAAATACAAGTATATCTCAACTAATAAGGATCCTAGAAACACTATTTCCACACATACCACGAACAACCTCTACAAATAGTCATAATTCACACCTATACACTCATAACGGTTCATATCAATGCCGTATCCCTTGTAATTAACTCAACCATACCCTACCCAAGACGTACACGATCAGCACATCCCAAGTGTTCGGAATTATTAACTCAAAAGGGGGAGATTCTGCCGTACCTACCTACATACCTCATACATACACGCACCTTACCACGTCTCATGCCCATCAAGAGACAGCTAATAACCACCCACCGGCATCCCGTCCCCCTTCCCAGCACTTTATTTTCTCGTTCATAAAAGCGTTTGATGATACCCAGTTCCGTCCTGCGAGGCGGACAGACGGATAGAGAGAGAGGGGCTACACGCCCCGCCATTGCATCACATACCATGTGTATTAGACAGCATAGCTAGGTAGCTAGCTAGTTGCAGATAGTTGCAACATATTTAGTAGTTCAGGGGCTTTAGCTAGAGCTCTTGTTTTGAAATATTACAGAAGAAAGAGTTTTGCAAAATCTTAATAAGTAAGGACTTCATAGTTGAGTCTTGTGTCTGGTTCATAGGGGTTGTTAACTCCCTTCATTTCTACCCCTAATCAACTTGGACCTTGTAAAACGACTTATGTCTGAAATTTCCCATTACCAGACTTATACTACCTACTTGAGTTCTCCAATATACTAGTCAAGAGTATAATAGTGAGTTGGCAATATATCTTAGTTCAAGAGATTGGCTGAGATAAGTACAGTTTAGAATGGCTCTTATTTGGGCGCATTTATATTAAATGCTCTCTTTCTATGCTTGTCTTATAATAACCAAGTATATATTCTATAATACTAACTAAAGGAGATTCATACCTTCGTAAAGTCATACCCACCAAACCCTCAATCCACTGGCTCGTGGAAAGAGACAGTCTAAGTAACAAGTATAAATTTATCCACGACGCTGTGTAACCCTCTTGCACTTGTTGCCAATCATAGTTAAACGTGAAGTTGACAAGCAATTCTTAGAATACAAACTGTAAACCATGTCTATGAAAAGAAAGGCAAGTCTATTCCCTGGAAATGCAGTTTAGGATATCATGTTCACACCAGCTCAATGCCCGGACACCCTATCCCTACCCATAATTCAATCGGTCTTTCTATCCCTCCGTATCCTGGGTCTTCCGTTCCGTCTCTCGAAATCTCACGGTCCCCTTTCCACCCCTGCTACCCTCGCCCAAATCCGGAGGTGCAGTCTCTCCCCTCTTCACACCGTTTCCAACTCTCCTCCCCTTCGCAGCCGCTCTCATCCTCTTCTCCCTCTCCATAACCACGCTATCGCGGCTTTTTAAGCTCACCGGCGGCGGCCTCCCTTTGGGTCCCTACTTCACTGCGGCGGCCGCGGCTTGCTCTTCGTACTCCGTGCCACAGATCTCATCTAGCTCGCCCACGATGCGGATTATGTACTCAAAGATAGTCAGCCCCTCCTTTGTTACATCGGCGCGTTCCTCTTCCGTCAACTTTGACTCCGGAGGCGAGGTGGCCGTTTCTAGCGCCTCCTTGAATAATCTCTTTAAGTCTTCGCCGTTCTCCGGCGTGTCGAAGAGGAAGAAGTTGAGAGGCGGTGGTTGCATGTTTTGCTTTCGGAGAACATCCTTGACGCAAAAGGCGTCATAAGAACCAGGCATTCTAAACTCGGGCTCGGGTTTGTCGAAGGATGATTCCAGACTTGACCAGAACCCGGTGCTCTGGTCGACGCGCTCGAGCGACGCTCTGATAAAACGTCCCCCGGCGAAGAGCGCCATGTACATGACCCAGGCATAAGCGACTAGGACGTGCGGGCGTGCCTGAACAGCCTCGCGGATATGCTTCTTAAACTCGACCAGCACAGGCGCATGCGACACCGATTCCATTCGCGAACGTACGAAACCGTCGTTCCGCCCGAGTAGCGTAACGATATCCTCTTGTAGGGCTCCCGACCGCGCGAAGCCCTCTATGCGTATATCTGCTAAGAGCGAACGTATCCGAGGCTCTATCTTTGCAGTAGCATGGGAGTCTTCTAAAATATGGTCCCATTCCTTCTCGAAGGTCTGGTAGATGGGCGCGATGTGCAGGAGCCCTGTGACATAGTTCTTCGCATCATCAGAATGTGGAGGGAGAGCCAGACGCAAGCGACAGGTAACTAGCTTGTTGAGCTTAGTGTGTAAGGGGCGTAAAGCGATATTGATCTCCTCGCCCAGAGTAGGAGTAGCGGTAGTAGTGTCTTCAGTCTTGGAAGGCATATTGATAGGCGATGGAAAGTTAGGATTGGAGAGAGTATAGTGCTTTTAGGTTATGTAGGTTGATGGTTGTAATAATCGATATTAAATAAACGTAGATATGTAGGGGAAAGCTAGGGAAAGCTAGGTAAGGCTGAGTGAAGCCTGACTTAAGATAGTTGATTCTGTGATTGAGCAGGTGACTGTTGTTTGTAAGAGTCGGGTCACACTCCCAGTCACGACCGTCACGACCAAGATTCCTTCCCGAGGAAATAACCAACGATCTTTACATATGACCAAGGCAAGTGTCTACCCAGTACCTACTATACTAACTAGTGGATAGGGTAGGAGTGATGGTTGCTGGTCTGGTTAAACAAGTTGAGAACACTCGGATGTCTTGACGGCGAGAAGGTCCAACGAGAAGCAACCACGCGCTTTTGCAACCTTGAGTACCTATAACCCGGGCAATCCGATGCGAGAAACAAACCAAAATGAGACGTTGCGGCTCTGTCGTGCACACATAAATTTCACAACCCTGAACCAGCCAAATAAATCATGCCTCATGCCAAGCCAAGTGAGCGGTGGCAACGCCGATGGCAGCGAGCATGAAAAATTACTGAGTTGCCACCGCAAGCAATCGACAACCCCCCAACTAGGATACTTGCATCAGACTTCAGTACCTACAGTTCAAACGAACTCGGCATCTCGTAGAAGGGAGCGGCTACCTACCTTATATATGTACTCACATATATATATCTCTGGCTATAGCGCAAGGCAAACACTCATGTTTCAAATCAGAACGATCTAAAAACCCCGAACGAATGGTTCGGATCGGGAGCCCACTGATGTCATTCACCGCTTGGTTTGGAAAATATACTATCACCTCGGAGGCTAGTGCCGTTATGGTCTAGGTTGGTTTCCCCCGAGCCGGGTCAAATGCTAAATACCTTATGCTCTGGGGTATCTGGAGTTTGTTGTTGGCGTATTTTGGGTGTTAGTCATAACTTGGATTATCGTGAGAATATCGTGAGAACATTCATATATGTGGATGATGACATTTATCAACTTCGCTTACTGGAACAGGATGCGTGACTGTTGTCTACTTCCATACTTCGTTAAGTAATATGTCTCATGACTAGTATCTCACATCTCACATGGGCTAGCTTATGAATCTAATGTCATCTAGTTATAAACACAGTACTGTTATAAGTACCTAAGGCTAGACAATGTTTAAGAAGTCACCTGCTTATATGGCCTTAGGAATATATTATTTGGACTTTAGTTGACAAATGCTAAATTTCATGACATATTATAGACGCTCATACACACTCAGAGATAACCTCCATATTAGGTGAGTTGGTTGCGTGTGGTACCCGTCTCTTAGTCCCGTATATGATATAGCCCAAGAATATCCATTCTATCTATGATATGTTAAGTTATGCCTGATACCCATGCACCAGTTGCCAAACCCAATTCTTATGACCGTGACGCCGCGTCACTACTACCTGTCCCATCCAAGAACAAAACAAAGCTAATAAGGCTACCTAATGGGTAGAAAGCTACGGCTCTGCCGTTCTATTTCCTCTTTCGGGAACGGCCTTTGCTCCGTCATCCTCGTCATGACTCTCGTTGTTGACGAAGATGAAAGAAACTAGTACAACTGCAGCTCCGATCCAGTACATAAAGCTAGAGTATTGCGCGTATTGGATCATTTCACCGATTAGGGACAGTGGTATGGTTAAGGATAGGCCAACAGTGACAACCAACGGCGTCGTGAGTAACATCGCGTAGGCCCACGAGATGTCCGAGACGAAAGAAGATATCGAATTGAGTATGATGATTGCCCATACCTTACCGCTCGGGGGTAGTTCAAACTGTTCTCTGTTAGTAACTCCCGAAAGTCCCATCGTGATTGTAGGTAAGATACGTACCGGCTCGATTCCTGTAAAATGCAGAATGAAAAACAGAGGCCACAGAAAAAGGATATTAAACACTCCCACAAGTCCGAAAAACAAGGGCATATTCACGCGCTCCTCGTTTCCGATGCGCACCTTCATCACCACAACATACAGCCCGTAAACGACCGCGCTGAAGAAGGCCATAGCGTCGCCGATAGCGATCTGCTGCTGGCTCTTATGCGGGAAGTTTCCCCGGTTGTCGTCATTATCGCCCGAGAGGTCGACGGTTGAGATAAGGATGATTCCCGCGAGTGAAGCCAGTACGCCGATTAGTTTGCGCACCGAGAACGGCTCGATACGCATCACGGCGCAGAATATCAGCGTCCACACGCTACTCGTAGATGTGAGGATCGTAACGCTCGCCACGCTCGTGTACTCCAGGCACGCCGACGCAAAGTAGTTCCCCAGGAACCAGATCATGCAGAACTCGAGGCTGTACCGCGCCGTCTCCAGGAACGAGAGCTTGTCCGATGTCCTCGGCGGATCGACTATTTCGAAACTTCCCTCGTCGTCGGATAGCAGCCTCTCGCCTACTGTAACCGCTTCTTCTTCCTCCCGTGTCTTTAGCCTCTCTACTCCTTGGTACCTCATTCTCCACTCCTGCATCGCCTGGTTCTTGACGCGGGTAAAGCCGCCATTCTGTATTATGTGCTTTATGGATATAGGGATCATCGACAGCGCAAATACGGACGTGTTAACATACACTAGGAAGAATGGCTTATCGTAGGTGTGATCGGAAAAGATATACTCGTAACTACGTTAGCTGAAGGTGCCCCCTGACCATACTCGTAGAATACTTACGCTGGCGAGGAAATTCGACGCCGTCCACAGGAATACGGTGACTAGTAATAGACTAATACCCAGAGTCCTCCTGGCCATATTCCTGATCCCTCCCTTTCGTTCCAGGCTTGGGATACTTCCCCAAGACGCGGATGACCCGGGCATGTTCTCAGACGGTACCGGTGGCTCGGAAAGTCTCCTTCTAGGAGCATCAAATCCGGGCTGCCTCTCATCCGCAGTAATTGTCGATTCCGGCGCCGCCATATCGTCGTCTGATAAGCGCAGTGTAGCGCAGAAACCCTTTGTGATCTATGAATCCCGCCGGGGTGTAACAACGGTCGCGTGAGACGGAAGCATTTATTATCCGAACAAAAAAGAGAGGATCGACGTTGATAGTCGCAAGGATCGAGTCTACATAGGGGCCGATAAGGACATAAAGACACCTACACGAGAGTAGAAAAGGGTGAATTTCGAGGGTTTGAAACATGCACATTGAAGGGTTCAATCCTATTGATGCGGCGCCGTCGGCCATTCAAGACGCCGAGATATTAAAGCTAAGACCCCTGAGCTTCTGCGTATCATTTCCTAGCGTGTTATTTTAGGTCTTGCGGGACACTGACAAGATTGATTAGGATGTACTTAGGTACCTATTAGATCATCCCACCATATAATTGCATGTGCTACCTAGGTACATAGGTATGCATTTGGTTTTGATTAATGATGCCTAGATGATGAGTTGGCTGGTGACAGGCAAGCCTACGAATCATCATCATACTCTCGGTTAGGCAGCAAGAAAAAGTCACAAAATTAAAGGCGATATCGAAGAAACACATTGTGGGATATGAATAAATAAACACTTCTGAATGCTACCTGAGAAATATCGAGATGTCTCAATCGAGACCTGGATACGTAAACCTGGATGATGAAAAGACGCCTAAGCCTCAATTCTGCAGTGTCGTGCTGCACTGTTGAGACTAAAAACCAAAGATGCAATGTATCAACTGTCTCTATACACTCATTATGGACGCGGCTCTGAAAATCCACTGCTCCGCATCTGTAACATGTCCCTGAAAGTCCCTAAAATCCGAAGTCTTCCATACAAAGAGCTGAACGATGGTTGAGAAAGCGCATTAGGCTGACCAAGGTTCAGCCGAGCTGTGTGACCTCTGAGATTTATGGGATGTCGCATAAACTGGACGAAATGCCCCTAATATTCTAGTTAACGGTCCTTAACATGCGCATCCATCGCGGTCGTTCTCGATGTGGATGTTGATAGGGTCTTGGAAGTCGCCACTGAACTCTTCGGACTCCTCTTGTGCCAGGGCATGCCGTGCAATGACTACGATATAGATTAGAATAGGCGCATGGATAAAAAGGGAATTAAGATATACCATCAAATGCTTGCTCAACGTTGACCGCCTCCTTCGCACTAGTCTCAAAGTAGGGGATATCGCCCTTAGACTGGCAGAAAGTAGCTGCCCTCTTACTCGAGACCTATAGATAATGAGTGGGTGAGCCGGTTGATGGCAGGTCGATCTCAACTTACTACTCGCTTGCTCTCATCGACATCGATCTTGTTTCCAAGGACGACCTTTAGTCCAATTAGCCTGGTTCTGAATCATGACAGAACGATTATTCTTACGAAAGGGAAGTTTTCGGGATCCCTCGGAGAAGCTTGGATTAAGAACTCATCTCTCCAGGAATCTAGCGAATCGAAACTCTTGGAGTTGTTGACATCAAAAACCAGCACGCAGCAGTCGGCACCTCGGTAGAACGCAACACCTAAAGATTGAAAGCGCTCCTGACCGGCTGTATCCCAGAGCTGCTTCTCGTCAGCAATCACCTCTGACGAGCTTGTCGCCATATCATACCTGCACTGTGACTTGTTGGTCGTCGATGAGGACCTTCTGAATTAAGAAGTCGGCACCGATGGTAGCCTTGTAACTGGCGCTGAATTTCTTGTTGACCTGTCCAGCGTGGGATATTAGTTTCGGGCTATTTGGGCATCGTAACCGGGGTGTTGTGGAGGAAACTGGCCAGGTTGGGAATCATAACATACATATTGATTCAGCAGACTCGTCTTTCCAACACCGCTATCGCCAAGGACAATAACCTAAGTATATTGTGTGTCAGTTTATGAGATCATACCAAAAATGCGTATGCAATCGGAATGGTGTTTATCGTTACCTTCAAGATAGCCCCTTTCCTAGAAGCCATGGCGGAGATCAGAGGTGAAGCTGGAGACTCTCGGTAGGTTGCTGTAAGGTCGAAGAAGTTCACGGGTTTAATTTGGGTTTATCGGGGATCTCAGATTTATGCGCTGGGTTGAATAGTGGGTTTCCGATTGAGGTAACGGAACTTGTGCGACAGTTAATGGCAGGTCGTGATAGGACCGTGTTGTATTGTTGAAAGTTGAGACGGGAGTTGTAGTTGCAGATGTTATTGTACCTGTTTGAAGGCCTGGGGCTGTTTAGATGGATTAGCGCTGGCTGGCCGACTGCCTGGTCGGACCTGGGCTGATACCTACCTGATTCAGATCCTAGCTGATAAGGCGCTGTAGCTTGTTGCTTTAGTGAGCACGAGATCAAGCGCTAATAGGTACACTAGCTGGTCGCAGCCACATTCCCCAACCGAGCACAATGATTTGAAGCCACATGCAGGCACATAGGTACATGAATTTAAGTTCAATGATGTCTTCTAAATTAACAGGCAGCATCGAAGGTTTGTTTCAATCGTAAATGAATTGTGCTTTTACCTAAGGGAGTTAGACTTTCTTACCAGGTAAACATATGACAAGAGCTGACAGAAGCCAAAAGGTTTCGAATGACCACCAGTGTTTCCTAGGTGGTATTTATATTTGCATAATTTGCATAAACTTTGGGCAGACACGTGAGTTCAGAAGCTATCGTAGGAAGCAATACGAAATATCACCCGGATTTCAATATCTACCTGTCTTAAGAAATCGATACAAATGGACATTGATCTACTCGGTTTTCCAGAGCCGAAGAGCCGCCATTTTTACCACCACTACTACATTATGGAAGGCAAATTCTAGGAAACCCTACCAAGGGTTAAAGTAGATCTTCAATCACGGAGTCTTGTCATGATGTCATACTTCATCATCCCCCTTATGGCATTACAGCTATGACTGCTTTAATCGGCTGCTATTATCTTAAGCCATTGAATGTTTTTATACAAAAGCTTTCCTCTCTCTATTTTCTCTTAAATTCTATCATTATTCAAGAAAACATTCATTGCCATCAGGATTACAGTTATTCACAATGGTAGCTATTCGTATTAGTAGCTCTTTAAATGCCTTGAGGGTTGCCCGGACCCGCGTTCCCCGAGCTTACCGTACTTTTACAGCTAGTCCCCGTTACTTTTCACCAGGTTATGGTGATGGAGAGGGAGATCCAGTTGGACAGGACCCTCAGAACCAGCCATCGTCAAGTGATGCACAGCAATCATCAGAACACCCTGGCCCAAGCCCACCGGACGTGGGCAAGGGAACAGGAGGTGGTCCTACGAAGGCCGCCTTGTCAGAGAGTATGAAAAACGCTGCTGCTCGCGAGTCAGGACAGAAGTCCCCCGAGGACGCCAGCGCGCAGTCCGGGGGGTCTAGGTCCAAAGAGGCTACCGAAACGGGAGGAAGTCCCACTGGCGGGAGTATTGCCAACGCGGCGAGCCAGGATGGAGGTGAGGCATTGAAGGGTCCTCAGGGCAAGGGCACACCCAGTCCAAAGATCCATAACCAGGCGGTGCCCGCCGTCAAGGAAGGCCTGAGTGACGAACAAAAACAGGAAGTCGAAAGGCATAACCAGGACTTCGAAAAGCGTCACGACCGGGCGGCACCCGCCTCAGATGACAAGGTCGACCCTAAGTTCTGGAAAGGGACGTGAGTAATGCGTGTGTCTGTTCTGCGTTGTTGTTTGCTGCTACGTCTCGATATATTATAGTATACTGATTTGTAATGGACGTAGCGGCGGTCTTCAACAGGGAGAGGGAAAAGGAGGAAGTGGAGTGGATTGGAATGCTTAGGTGAATGAATTACCTTGTATCTGATTGAGAGGGAGGCATTCTGATGCGTTATTCGAGGTGTATAAACTGTACCTTTTATATCTTATTGTTGAAGGTCATTGTGCTAAGGATAGAATTATTGTCATAGCACTAGTTATATAGATTAGGTACCTATCTACCTACCTAGGCAACTTGTCTGGATACTGAAATAGTACTATCAAACTCACCCAACGTAATTAAGTGAAGTGGTGTGCGGTACATGAGAATAGAGATATACTATGTAGTATATACTATTTAGTATATATGTTGACTTGGAGAAATATAGTTTAAAAGGTGAGGTGAGTTGAGGCTCGGATTCACGGATCCAAATCCATCAATGGTCCGCACTTGCCCCGCTAGCTTGTCCCCAGCAATTAAAACCCCCTGTATTTCGTTAGGTACCTTGGATACTCGTTAAGCATTTTTAACTCCTTATCCAGCAAAGCGTTTCGATCAACTCACCATATGATTTCGATGTGATCCCATGGATAGCGAGGCATTTACTAGACAGAGATTCGATGGCGGATGAGGATCTACTGCACAGGATTCACGGATTGGAGGACTTGGATCTGGCAGCGCTTTTATGTCTCGTCAGTCGCGAACACTGCATCGTTAGCACCGAACCAGAAGAGCTCGACACTTTGGTTGAAGAGCTGCGACTCGTTGCTTCGCAGACTTTTAATCTGTCATCGGCGCTCGTAGATTGTACGCCACATACTACCCTCGACGACCTCGCCGCCTCTATCCAGCTTCGTCCAGCTACACCACCGCCGCAGCTCCCTCCTCCGACTCCGCGCACTCCATCAGCCTCCCCCCTTCGACGTCGAGGAACCGATGCATCCTACTTCCACGGCAGAACTGCGACTCCCACCACACCAAGAAACCAAAATCCATTTACGGGGGCACCGCCGCAGATTGCCAACGTAATTCTAGCGAAGAATCTCGACCGAGCTCCTAGGGATGTACAAATCCAATGTCTAGAACTTCTACGGACTAGGAGGATTCTGACGCGCACCAGCGTGCAGACGGCACCTAAGCAGTTCCTGTTTGTGGCCGTGCTCGAGTCCGCGGGTGCGGGACGGCTCGTGTCTCACCTAAACGACTTCTTCTATGTTTCACACTGGCACGATCCCGAGGATGGCTTTGCGCATTTGGAAGAGGAGGAAGATAGAAAAGGAGGAGAGACGGCTAGTCTAGATAGTGACTCGAGTGTAGTTCGGCGGAGCACCGCGGACTCGATGTCTGCTCCCGTACTTACGTCTACGCCTCGGGCGGGTCCAAGTCGTAGCAGCGCGACCTACGTAAACCGGGAAGATCAACTCACCATGGACCAAATATCCCTCTCTAGCTCACGCGCACCTTCATTCGCGTTCCCATCTATTAGCGAGTCCGATATCGCAACGCTGGCGCTGCGGGCGCGGCAAGTCAATCAGGAAATTGAGGTGCTGCGATATCAGATGAACATCGTGTCCTTTATACGCATGCATCGGGCCGTTGCGCCAGGCGGAGGCGGCGCGACACCTTTAGCTACCAAGCACCTCGATCAGTTGGCCAAGTGTCTCGCTGCACTTCACGGTCTCGACTACGTTACCCCGTCTCTAGTTGGGCTTGCGGTTAAGAAGATATACCCGCATCGTATCCGGATCGCGGCTCCCGGGCAGGAACGCAGCATGCAATGGGGCAGTGACCTTGGGGCTATCGAGACACTGCTGGAGGGTATGGACGCGGCGTATGTGATAGAGGATGTATTGAGCATGGTTGAGGCACCGTTATAGATAGGTTATGATACCCAGGGTTAAGTCATAGTTACATAGTACATAATAATAGAACTAAACATTGATTGCGTCCTAATTTTTTCATTCGTCATCTTCCTACAGTACAGTTCGCCCATTTCCTATACTTATCTTCGTCGAAGACGGAAATGCCGGCGCCGTATTTCGTACTACACCTTTACAACCAGATCCGAAAAACGCCGGCCTCGCAGGGCAACTACCTAAGTTATCCGCCGTGTCCGTGCCTCCTCGTCATTAATTATCTAAACTTTCCAATAGCCACGTTCCTAATCTTGTTAGGGTAGTGTGCAGTACGATTAAAAGGTCTCAGTGATCTTGCAGGACCAGCCGGAGTTCTTTGCTAATAAGGGTAGACTAAAATCTCTTAGTATTTGTATCAGGTTAAAAGGGAAAGGGGGCGTGATATGCTTACCTGGCTCCTAGACACCAGCCCAATTCGTTGCCCTTGATCTTCTTAGCGATCTTGACCTCCCGGTCAATAGGCATTTCGTAACCGCTGTGCAGCAATCCCATCATAAAGTTGAGGTCCAAGCAGTACTCGCCACGACCACGTAGCTCTTCTAGGGCCTCTGGGATATTGGTGAACGCGCCCCACGTGTCCTCGCCGCCGCACACGGCGTTAGTGAGATCGTGCAGTTCCCGGAGGGTGAACGAATCGGGCATTCCAAGAGGCTTGGTGCGGTCGTAGAAGAAAGAGAAGATGTAGACATCTTCCTTAGCGAATGTCTTGGCTAATGGGGGCTGGTGAACACCGTTGAAGGAGCAGGGTGCAAGCTTGCACTCGACGTCCTTGTACAGAATCCTCTCAGCCAGAGCACGACACTGCGCCGGAGCAGGGTTCATGGGGCCGGTCACATTAAGCTGCAACTCGCCGGTGCCTAGGGGGCTGTCGTCACCAAGTTTAACCGTAATCTTATCGGTCTGGCCCGCGTTAATACAAGGGTGGTTAAGAATGGGCTTTTCCAAGAAGGCCTTGCTCTTCTCCTTCTTGTAGATATCATGTAGCAAGCTCAAGTGGATAGAGTTGCGAGCCGCCATCAATCCGTATCCAAGGTGAGAATGCTGGTAGAGCTCAAAGTTTCGTCCGCCGAAGGAGAGCTCGTACTTGTGGTCGCCTTCAGCCAGCTTCTCGGGCATGCCACCAGAAGCAAGTCCCTTAAACGTGGGCTCAAAGACAATCTGCGTAGAACCACCACCAAGATCAAAGATAGCGGCGGTTGGGCTCTGGTCAGGACCACCAATCTTTCCTAGAAGGTAGTTGGTAGTAATCCAAGCGTATACACCCTCATCAGAACCGTCCATGATTGCAACACCATTCTCTTCTCGGGAGACAACGGGGAAGGGGTAGTCCTTCTCAAGGTGCTCCCGAACGGTCTCGAGGATTTTCCCACTGGCCTCCTGGCCGATCATTCGCAGACCAGCGGTCGCCTTTACGGCAACCGGGCTACAACCCTTCAACTTGTCGGGAACGGTCTCCATCGCGACCTGCATGAGACTATCCAGGGTCTTCGCGGCGGCAACGGGGTCGTCCTTATACTTGCTCAAGCCGCCTACGCTCTTGTCGGTCATTTTGAACTCTTCCTTCTCCAACTCTGGGGTCGGGCCACAGTTGTTGAACTTGTAAACATGGATACGAGATCCAGTGCTACCAGCGTCGATCATGAGGACATATTGTACGATTGGCTTGTCCTTAGAAAACGATTTCGTACATTTCGAGGTTCCGTATGATGAATCGGATGGCACCTGGCCGCCAGAATGTGATACTACAAATATCAATTAGATTGCTATCTTGATAGGAACCATAAGACTCAGTTACGAGGCAACATACCACCCTTATATACTTCTACACCTCTTGGCGAGATGTAGTAGAACAGGAACACCAAGAAGACAACGATGGCCGTGGTCTTTAGCCATCGCGTCCTTTGGGCCTGGTTCATGGTCGCAGCCTGTAATTTCTCCACGATGCCGGGTTCTCGGTGGCCCGAGTCGTAACGTGCAGGTTTCTCGTGAGGGTCGTGTCTGACTTGCTTCGTAGGCAGTGAAACTGATGTTCTCCTCATAACCTTTACATGCGATGCATCCCCCAAGAAGGTCGGAGAATTTAATTGGTAGTGAAAGAGTGAAAGAAAAGGCAAAAAAATTAAAAAAGAAAACCTAGAAAAAGCCAACGAGGGATCAGTTTGACATGCGAGAGTCTAAACCAGACAGGAGCGAGGATCAATGCCGGATATGAGAATCGTTAAATAGGATAGGTAATGTGGAAAAGGGGGGCAGCGAACACGAGGCAACACAACTTGTCCAAATGGCAAATGGCAATCTCGAAGATTGATTTTCCAATTTCAACGGTTTTTTAATGTTCCATTATCGATGACCCCTGAAGATGACTTGGCTGCTTGGATTTACCTAGTTGGCACTCCAAGGCACTTTGTGACTACCTATTTCTAGTGACTTAGTTGGATTAGGCACTGCATACCCCTGTCATCTTTGTACGTAACCCCGTACCCTGGCAGCCCTGGTAGACCTTGGCATCTAGAATCTAGGTACATGCATCTGGCATCTTCAAGCCTCGACTTCCCACCGCCACACTAAGGTACGGAAAGGTTGGAACGAAGAGGTACGGAATACATATCTCTATGTACCTTTGTTACTAGAAGGTACTGTAACGCTGCTTGTTTAACATCGAGTTGACGTACATATCGCTGCCTCCGGTCATAACTATTATTTGGCGGATTCAAATTTCACTTCGATTAGACCTAATTATTTCTTATATAACTTCCCATCGCAAGCTCCCTTTCTCCTCGATTCTGAGCCTAACGTTTTAAATATTTCATTCAATTACATAGACGCTGAGAAGATAAGGCGGACTTATAAGATTTAGACGGCGATAACAATTATAAAGCCAGCCATTACTACTACGAGAACTTTCGCGATGGACGTCCATCTTCTTGTCTACGACCTATCAAATGGTCTGGCTAAGCAGCTGTCCCTTGGACTACTAGGCTTTCAGCTTGATGCTATTTATCATACTTCAATCGAATTAGACAACAAGGAATATGTCTATGATAGTGGTATAAATGTGATCCGACCCGGAACCTCTCATCTGGGTCAACCTTTAGAACGAATTCATCTTGGGAAGACCGAGATGCCTATGGAAGTGATCCTTGAATATCTTGATTCGCTCAAGCATATATATACTCCTGAAGTAAGTTAGAGACACAGT